AAGCTCAGCTAGCTCCCACCCCTCAGCCAGGACTCCTACTCACCACTGACAGCCACACAGACCCAGCCCTAGCCCACTGACCTGGGAACCCCACAACTTTGGGAACCCCACAACTCCTCCGCAGCAATGGCCCAGGGATGCAGAAAAGGCCTCTTGTGCGAGACCTTAGTTCTCCAACTCCAAACGACTTCTCTCCTGCTCATTATTCAAGCCCTCACACCTACTTTGTGGAGGGTCCTGCTCTTCGGGCATAGAAACGAGCTGCAGTGCCCACCATGGGTGGTGGGCAGTAGCAGTCCATGCCCAGTGACTAGAGGGATGCAAGCCACATTGGAGCACTGCCGCTGGGCCCACAAATCGTGGCTGACTCAGAAGGAAAAGGAAGAGGCAAAGTAAAGTTGCTCAGGCTTACTCAGCTCTGCTCACAAACTGCCCCACTGGCGTCTACGGAGGTGAACACCCTCGGGACTCTCTTTTCACAATAAGGAATCCCTGAGTGTGCAGTCCACGTGGTTAGCGACTACCTGAAAGATGCATGGTTTGATGTCCACTCAGAGGCACCTTGGGAAAAAAGACATGGTGGTCTACTTCCCCAAAATCAGCCGTTGGGAGCTCTATGAAGCACAGTTATCTTCAAACACATGTGGGGTTGCCTTAAAGGCCACTGGTTCTGGTTTTGTCATTTAAAAAGGGGCGGGGGGGGGGTGGGGCAGCTGGAGCGGAAGTCAAGCCTCTGCAGAAAACCCTGCACCCCTGCAGCTGGGGTAAGACCAGGCCCCAGGCCTCGGAGGCAGGAGGGTGTCATCCGGAAAACATGAAAATCCCACATGGAGTTTTCCATTTCCTAGGACTGCGGAGGGGAGGGGAGGAACATCAGCATCACTTCTGCAGTGTTGGAAAGCACGGAGTCAGTCGCTAGCCAAGGGACTCAGTGTGACAGAGGGTGATGATCGGGGGACTCTCCTACACCCACAATGGAAGAGTGTGGGAGGGAAGATCCGGCCTGGGGACCTTACAGAAGATCTGCGACGGGTGCTGGCAGGGTGACATAAGGGGCCTCTCTCTCCTGGCCGCCAAGCAGAGCCAACCCCGGGGTCCTCAGTGCTCAGGCTGAACCTCTGGGAGGGCCCAGTCTAGTTAGGATCAGACGAGATTAGCAGCGCAGCCCATTGGGGAACTGGGTCTTAGGTGGCCACGTCCACTCTAAAAACAGAACAGCCACATTGGAACCCAGAGTCTATTTTTGTGTCCTTGTCACTGGAAAGGAATGTGTAATATTTCAGCAAAGCGGGGGAAGTATGCAGCCAACACTCTCTGTTTGGCTTGGCAGCCTTCGGCACATCTAAATTGATGAAACACAGACTGCAGAAATAGTGTCCGAAGATAGGTGATTGGAGCAAAGCCTAATACCTCCACAAAGTGTCTAATATCCCTTCTCCCCACATCATCCTCCCAAGGGGGAGAAAAAGCAAGAATGAAATGAAAAACCTTTGGGATCTCACAAGTTCAGTAGACGTGAAGTCCTGGCAGGGAGAGAGGATAATAGACCACCCGAGCTGGGGGTCTCAGGGTGTTGCCCCGTACATCAGGCAACCTGCCGAGAAGACCCCAAGTCCTGAGTCTCTGCAGAGGGGCTCACAGACCAGCCTGACCCTTTCCACATAGACATACCCCATCATTCTGCCTCTGGGGCATGTACCCTGGCCTTGGTGGCCCCTGTGGCTGTAAAGGCTAAGGGATAAATATAAAGTCTCTGTCCTCCAGGGACTTGCCTTCTAATAGGGGCCAGGGCATGGCAGCAACTAATTAACAGGACACTAGAACAGTGCATGTGGTTGTCTACAGTGGTGGGCACGTCGCATGGAGGTGCCCCTGCTCATGGTGCCCCCTTGAAGAGGGGTCGGAGGACTCCCCTCCCTTAGGAATGGTCTGGACTGGCCTGGAGAGGGCTCGGAAGCCCCAAGGACCCAACGGTCTAACACGCCCCAGCTGCTGAGTAACCCGCAGCAGGCAGCTCAAGTGCAATGAAGGAGACAGCATAAAAAGGCAGCTGCAGCTGAAGCCAGAGCAGAGTGCAAGATCGGCCAGGGGTCCCAAGAGCCCACACTGGCCTCCTCAGCCTTCCTCCTCCACTGGCTGGGGAATGCCAAGACCTCTCTGCTCCCTACCTCCCGTGAGTGCAGCAATCCACATCCTGCTGGCTTTCCTCTCGAAGCACCAACGGAATGAGAAGAATCCAAAGCTGGCCTGCGGTGCCCTTCCCCAGGACTCCCCTAAAGAATGGAGACGCGCACACACACACACACACACACACACACTATACTCTGCTCTTTGGAGCGTTTCTACTCCACCTGTGAAAGAAAGTTCTCGCCCTGAGCTATACAAAGTCTAACCTCAAGAGCACACCAAAGCTAAGGACACCCAATGAGCTCACCCCACCCCAGCTTATGAAATACTGCAACTCTTGAAACAGGGAACTGAGTTGGGAATGGTGCACCAGTAAACTGCATTTTCCTCTCAGAGGATGCTGGGTAAAAAGGGCAGCTTATCTGGGCTTGATTTCAGCTGGCCTTCTCAATGCATGATGGTTCCGAAGCGGCCTAGCTGGTCGCTGTGCACAATGAGTGCACGTGGGAGCAGGCTGGACCTCCATGAGCTCCACTTGGTGCCCAGTCAAAAGACCTGGTATCAGCAGCTGCCCCAGGCACCACGGCGCCCTGGTCTCAGAAGGCTGTGTGCAGCCAGTTAATAATAGATGTAATGTCCCATCCTGCAAAGAGCTGATTCGGGAACACTTCACACGCTACATTTCTTAAGAGAGCAGATATTCTCATGGGTCACCTGATGGGTTTAGGCCTGGAGACATTTGAACTGTTCCGACAGTTAGGATTGACCTCACCACGATGGATGATTGACATCAGCAGACAATGGGCCCAGCGCAGGGAAATGGGCGCTGCTTTCTGGGCTACTGTATGCGGGCTGCTCGTTCCGAGTGTGAAGAAGGCCTACAGATGAGGGGAAGTCACATGCAGAGCCACTGGGGAGCCAGTTCTTACATCCGCACGGTCTATTCCTTAACAAGAAAAGGGGGCGGTGTTCAAGCACGCCCCTGCAATCAGTGGATGGATGCAGCCAAATGCCCTCAGAAACTCCCTGTCTTAAGCTCCTCAAGGGTGCCTTCCAGAAAGGACATCCCATCAGCCCAACAGGAGGAGAGCTGCTGGACCAGGTCCAGTCAAGAGAGTGAGAGCAGCTCTTAGAGACTGGTTTTTGAGATTCCAAAAGGGGAATCCTGATGGATTTTCTCAAAGGACACGGGATGACCGGGGGCTGATCAGGAGGAGGTTTTAACAGAACAGAACAGCACACTGGTGAGAAAGTGGCTTGGAGGAATGTTTTTCTCTACTCCCAATGAGGGTGCTCATTCTTTGAGGGGAGCAAGGGCTGCCCTAGGAGACGTTTGCTGGGAAACTCCTCCATCCGCCCTGCAACTCGACCTCTTTTTGTTCCTCAAACTCAAAGGACACTGGGTTGGAGAGAAGCACAGTTTGCATCGACGTTTTGATGTTTCTGCTTACTAAAGGTCTGTCTCTATGGGCTTATAGCAATACTTCCCGACTTTTATGACCTCTCTGGGATCAGTGCTTCTCACAGGCACGCATTCTGGGAGACACATACACATCAGTATCCAGGGCAACGGCTGAATCTCTCTCTCTGCCTCCTGCAGGCTCCTCAGCAGTGTCACCAGACACAGGGCTCTGGTCAGGTTCGGGAGTAACTGTAATTGCAGGCTGCTCCCTAGCATCCTCGGCTCCCCACCCCAACCACAGCCAGCCTTTCAACTCATGTCCAAAAGCCCAGGGAGACTCAGGTTCTGGTCAGGCCCCCCTCTCTTGCCTTGCCCTCTGCACAGACTTGGGTGACCAACCTATAAGGGGAAAGAAGGCACACAGGACCAAGTTGACTGTGTCTTTATTGCTAAAGCATTTCAGATCCGACATAAGTAATGCACTGAAGGCTGAGGGTATGGCACCAAAGTTAACTAATGTCAGGCACTCCCCCAAACCTCCTCTTCACTCTGCTGTGAGGATAAACGCACTTTAGATCTGTCCTGGGGCCAGCTTGCTTCACTGTTGGAGTGTGTGTGTGTGTGCACACGCGGCACACGCGCGTGTATGTATGGTGTGTGTGTGGGGGTGGGGGTGGGATTGCAATCACTTGTTGAATATATCTGTATACTGGCTGTGCACGTGCATAGGAGCCAATACTTCCTTGTAAGACGCAGTTCTCCATGTAAGGGCCCCCAGCTCACTGCTCTGCCCACCACGGCTCTCCTCACATGCTTACTCCGTGGCAGCATCTTGCCCCCTCTACCTGGTGCTGCCGGGTGACAGCCCCAACTGACAAATGAGAGGACGTGGGGAAAGGTGCACACCTTCATGAGGAGTGGGTGAAGGCCTGGCCTTCGCTCCTTCCCAGCACACGGCCACTTCCATGGCCTCGACACGACAGTGAATGCTCAGTCTTTAGAAACGCCGGCCCTGTCTTTCTCTGCCTTGGGTGACAGATGCCCGTACATTTTGGGCATTTTGCTGCTCATTAAGGCAGATCTACTGGGGCAACTCATGGCGGTAGACACAACCAGCTAATGTCACTGAACTGCAATCCACAATTCCCACCGTTTTTTGTCTTATGAAGCCAGCAAGATGCTTGATGCTGGTAGGGACAGTGCCTACCAGGAAAGGCCTGCTGTAGCTGCCCCACATTCTCTGGTCCCTGGGGCGCCACAGGCCCTACGGACAGCATTCAGAACTACTTTACATTCCATCCCCAAACCACAACAGTCCCCACCTGGGGTGGGGGTGGGGGTGCAGAGGGCTGCTTTTAGCCCGGAAGTGTGGGCCACTGCCTTCTAAGTGCATCAAATGTGGAAAGAAAAGCACAGAACCCCTCAATCCTTTTTAAAAAGTACACATACATCTAAATTTAATCCTACTTACCCTTGTTTCCCAGGAGAAAGGGGCAGAGTGCTCATCTTGCCAAGTTATGCCCTGAAAAAAAAAAAGCAAAAATAAATCTGAAACCCAGACCTGCCACATACAAACACCCAGCCAACGCCAAGGGCAAAGCAGAGCTCCGAGTGCCCCGACCCCCAGCATGGAACTGTGCTGTGTGGATGCTGTGCGCGAATGCCCCAGCCATCCCCGGGGCCTTTCACAGTTACCTTTCTGGCGAAGGCTGCCAGCCCATAGCAAGTGTCCGCCTCTCCCCAAACAGGGCCGCTATGGACTCAGACAGGATGGGAGCAGACCAGAAAGGGAACAGGGCTTTCCGGTGTATGAGTTGGAATCAACAGAATGACAGTGAGTTTGGTTTATTGGTGATTGTTAAGAGGACAGGGGCTCAAGTCTCGGCCCTACCCAGGACTGGTTGTGCAGCTCTGGGGAGACACTTCGCTTCTTCGAGCTCAGTATCCTTGGCTGTGAAATGAGGTAACGTAGAAGGGGAAATGCCATGCCAGTATCGCTGAGCTTCTCTCGACCCCATTGCTTACACTCTGAAAGGCAAAGGCAATGAAGACACCCAGTTCATATACTATAGGCTGTTGCCAAGTGCCGTCGGATCAGTTCTGACTCATGGTGGCCCCGTGGAGAACAGACTGAAGCACTGCCCGACCCTGTGCCAGCCTCGCAATGGTTCTCGGTTTGCACCCATCGATGCAGCCACTGTCAGTGCATCTTGTCAGAGGTCTTCCTGTCTTTAATTGCCTCTCTATCTTCAAAACAGGGTATCAGCAGGAGCCAGTTGGAAGGTCAGAAGTCAGGTTTTTCTTTCTCTCTATGTAAACAATATGTGTGTGTAGGGTGGGGGGATTGTTAGCAAAGGTACTATCTACCAAAATATATAAAAATATTTTCATGTAATACTATTTGATTATAGTTCTGACATATGAGGGGGTTGCATAGTATTCTATCAGTCATGGTTGTCGGGAAAAACTTTTTAAAATTACAGGGAATATAGGTCACTTTCTCCCTGTGTGGAATTCCAGTTAAATCCAACTTACTTTCCAAGTTAGTTTCCAGCTAACAAATGCGGTCCTTCCCAAGTTAGGGTTGTGTCATTGAGAGAAGTATTTGGTTGAGGTGGTGGGCCCTCTTCAGCAGCCCGCGTGGCCCTTGCACCACTGTGTCTACCAGGAAGTTGCTAGAGAGGATTGCAGCGCATGTCTTTAAAATTCCATGATTTCAGAGCCCTCTGAATTCCTCGTAGAAATCATAAAACAAACTGAAGACTTCTCCCCTCCACCCACCCTGCATCCCCAGATGAGAAAAGCCGAGGCTGAAAGACTGGGAGCATCATTTATTCTACATTTGAGCCTATTGGGGGGCGGGAGGGTGGGGGGAGAGGAGAGAGG